GTTTAGTCCCTGATTTAGACCTGGTTTAGTCCCTGGGAAAAAGTTTTTATTCTCGTTGTGGAATCTGAATCCGTACTGAGATGTAGTTTGAAGTATTAGTACATGATGCAGTACTTCTCTTCTCTTGACCTACTTCCACATGTTCATATACTGTTCCATAGTCAAGTGTAAAATAATATAAAAGTCGATGAGACGGAGACCGAGCTGCTCCTGAACGCATCGTATTCAGCTCAGGTTTCACTCAGCAGAACAGGACGCAGCTACAGATACACGAATACACGAATACACGGACAGAGTACTGAGACAAGAAGTACAAATACTGCAAATACTACTGCAGCGTTGGCTTCTGTTACTGCAAGTTCAAACATAACTTTTTATATACTGTACATATTGATACTACAGCCATTACTAAGAGTACAGATCATTTAAACAAGTGAAAATACACTTATAAGGCAAAAAAGTACTACTACTACAACTGTTACTATTGCTTCTACTACTTCTACTGCTGCTGCTACTTCTACTGCTACTACTGCTACTACTACTGCTACTACTGCTACTTCTACTGCTACTACTACTACAACTGTTACTATTGCTTCTACTACTTCTACTGCTGCTGCTACTTCTACTGCTACTACTGCTACTACTACTGCTACTACTGCTACTTCTACTGCTACTACTACTACAACTGTTACTATTGCTTCTACTACTTCTACTGCTGCTGCTACTTCTACTGCTACTACTGCTGCTACTACTGCTACTACTGCTACTACTACTACTGCTACTACTGCTACTTCTACTGCTACTACTACTACAACTGTTACTACTGCTGCTACTACTTCTACTGCTGCTGCTACTTCTACTGCTACTACTACTGCTACTACTGCTACTTCTACTGCTACTACTACTACAATTGTTACTATTGCTTCTACTACTTCTACTACTGCTGCTGCTACTACTACTACTACTACTACTACTACTACTACTACTACTGCCACTACTACTGCTACTACTATCACTACTGTTACTACTACTACTACTACTACTACTACTACTACTGCTACTGCTACTACTACTGCTACTACTACTGCCACTACTACTGCTATTACTATCACTACTGTTACTACTACTACTACTACTACTGTTACTACAACTGTTACTACTGCAAATGCTACTTCTTCTACTGCTACTACTACTACTGCTACTACTACTACTACTATTACTACTACTACTACTACTACTGCTACTACTACTGCCACTACTACTGCTACTACTATCACTACTGTTACTACTACTACTACTACTACTACTACTACTACTACTACTACTACTACTACTGCTACTACTACTACTACTACTGCTACTACTAGTACTACTGCTGCTACTACTACTACAACTGTTACTACTGCAAATGCTACTTCTACTACTACAGAATACTACTGCTACCTACCACCACTAGATTAAGTACAGTTAATATTTACTATTGTACTACAACCACTTCATACAAGTACTATTGCTACTACTCCTACTATTATACTGCTACTGCTACAACTACTACAGCATAATACTGGTACTATTACTACTACTATTACAAAATACGATCATCTACTATAACTACAAGAATTAAAGTCATCGGTAAAACTAAACTGAAGTGTCTTGCCTAAGGAAACAATAACAACAGTATGTGCACCAACCTACTACTACCACTAGGCTAATTAATGTTACTACTACTGATACTGTTACAAGTACAAGTACAAGTACAAGTACTTTGGTTCCGTCCTTGTGTCCAGTTCTGGTCTGTTGTGTTTTTGTGAAGTCAAAGTTCGTTAAATATTCAGGAGTTTATTCTGAGACTGATCGACCGTCAGACCAGAGACTAAAAATAAAACAACAACCAACAGCTCGTTTATTACAGTAAGACCACAGGAAAAACATGAACTACAGTCCTGGTTTAGTCCTGGTTTAGTACTGGTTTAGTCCTGGTTTAGTCCTGGTTTAGGCCTGGTTTAGGCCTGGTTTAGGCCTGGTTTAGTCCTGGTTTAGACCTGGTTTAGTCCTGGTTTAGACCTGGTTTAGTCCTGATATAGTCCTGATTTTAACTTGATTTAGTCCTAGTTTAGTCCTGGTTTAGGCCTGGATTAGACTTGATTTAGTCCTGGTTTAGATTTGATTTAGTCCTGGTTCATTCCTGATATAGTCCTGGTTTAGTTCTGATATAATTTTGGTTTAATCCTGATTTAGTCCTGGTTTAGGCCTGGTTTAGTCTTAGTTTATAGGCCCGGTTTAGTCCTGGTTTAGACTTGTTTTAGTCCTAGTTTAGGCCTGGTTTAGTCCTCGTTTATAGTCCTGGTTTAGACTTGTTTTAGTCCTGGTTTAGACCTGGTTTAGTCCTCGTTTATAGTCCTGGTTTAGTCCTAGTTTATAGTCCTGGTTTAGACTTGTTTTAGTCCTGGTTTAGGCCTGGTTTAGTCCTCGTTTATAGTCCTGGTTTAGTCCTAGTTTATAGTCCTGGTTTAGACTTGTTTTAGTCCTAGTTTAGGCCTGGTTTAGTCCTCGTTTATAGTCCTGGTTTAGTCCTAGTTTATAGTCCTGGTTTAGACTTGTTTTAGTCCTGGTTTAGGCCTGGTTCAGTCCTCGTTTATAGTCCTGGTTTAGATTTGTTTTAGTCCTAGTTTAGGCCTGGTTTAGTCCTGGTTCATTGCTGGTTTAGTCCTGGTTTAGTTCTGATTTAATTCTGGTTTAATCCTGATTTAGTCCTGGTTTAGGCCTGGTTTAGTCCTGGTTTAGGCCTGGTTTAGGCCTGGTTTAGTCCTTGTTTATAGTCCTGGTTTAGTCCTAGTTTATAGTCCTGGTTTAGACTTGTTTTAGTCCTGGTTTAGGCCTGGTTTAGACCTGGTTTAGTCCTCGTTTATAGTCCTGGTTTAGACTTGTTTTAGTCCTAGTTTAGGCCTGGTTTAGTCCTCGTTTATAGTCCTGGTTTAGTCCTAGTTTATAGTCCTGGTTTAGACTTGTTTTAGTCCTGGTTTAGGCCTGGTTCAGTCTTCGTTTATAGTCCTGGTTTAGATTTGTTTTAGTCCTAGTTTAGGCCTGGTTTAGTCCTGGTTCATTACTGGTTTAGTCCTGGTTTAGTTCTGATTTAATTTTGGTTTAATCCTGATTTAGTCCTGGTTTAGGCCTGGTTTAGTCTTAGTTTATAGGCCTGGCTTAGTCCTGGTTTAGATTTGTTTTAGTCCTAGTTTAGGCCTGGTTTAGTCCTCGTTTATAGTCCTGGTTTAGTCCTAGTTTATAGTCCTGGTTTAGACTTGTTTTAGTCCTAGTTTAGGCCTGGTTTAGTCCTCGTTTATAGTCCTGGTTTAGTCCTAGTTTATAGTCCTGGTTTAGACTTGTTTTAGTCCTGGTTTAGGCCTGGTTCAGTCCTCGTTTATAGTCCAGGTTTAGATTTGTTTTAGTCCTAGTTTAGGCCTGGTTTAGTCCTGGTTCATTACTGGTTTAGTCCTGGTTTAGTTCTAATATAATTTTGGTTTAATCCTGATTTAGTCCTGGTTGAGGCCTGGTTTAGTCTTAGTTTATAGGCCTGGTTTAGTCCTGGTTTAGACTTGTTTTAGTCCTAGTTTAGGCCTGGTTTAGTCCTCGTTTATACTCCTGGTTTAGTCCTAGTTTATAGTCCTGGTTTAGACTTGTTTTAGTCCTGGTTTAGACCTGGTTTAGTCCTCGTTTATAGTCCTGGTTTAGTCCTAGTTTATAGTCCTGGTTTAGACTTGTTTTAGTCCTGGTTTAGACCTGGTTTAGTCCTCGTTTATAGTCCTGGTTTAGTCCTAGTTTATAGTCCTGGTTTAGACTTGTTTTAGTCCTGGTTTAGGCCTGGTTCAGTCCTCGTTTATAGTCCTGGTTTAGATTTGTTTTAGTCCTAGTTTAGGCCTGGTTTAGTCCTGGTTCATTGCTGGTTTAGTCCTGGGTTAGTTCTGATATAATTTTGGTTTAATCCTGATTTAGTCCTGGTTTAGGCCTGGTTTAGTATTAGTTTATAGGCCTGGTTTAGTCCTGGTTCATTACTGGTTTAGCCCTGGTTTAGTTCTGATATAATTTTGGTTTAATCCTGATTTAGTCCTGGTTTAGGCCTGGTTTAGTCTTAGTTTATAGTCCTGGTTTAGTCCTGGTTTAGATTTGTTTTAGTCCTAGTTTAGGCTTGGTTTAGTCCTGATATAATTCTGGTTTAATCCTCATTTAGTCCTGGTTTAGGCTTGATTTAGTACTAGTTTAGTCCTGGTTTAGTCCTGGATTAGTCTTTGTCTAGACCTGGTTTAGTCCTGGTTCAGTCCTCCTGCTCAAGTTGATCGTGTTTAGTCCTAAAATTGTTTACACCTGGTTCAGTTCCGGTTTGGTTTCAGTTTAGTTGTTCAAGTCCTGGTTCAAGTCCAGGTTTAGACCCGGTTTGAACCTGGAACAGTCCTGTTTAAGTCCTGGTTTAGACTGATAAATCCCTGGTGAAGTCTTCTTAAGTCAAGTTGATAGAGTTTAGTCCTAGAATATAGTCCTGGTTCAGTCCTGTTTAGTCCTGGTTGAGTCCTGGTTCAGTCTTGGTTCAGTCCTGGTTCAGTCCTGGTTCAGTCCTGGTCTGGTTGTCTGTGTTTAGTCCTGGACTTTGTTTAGTCCTGTTTCAGAGCTTAATTTCAGTTATAGTTTTTAACCTGATTTAAACCTGTAATTTTCTTCTTTCTTCAAAGGTTCAATGTGACGCCTGAAAGTAGCAGGAGTAAGAAAAGTAGTCCCAGAAGTAGCAGTAGCAGTAGTAGTAGTAGTAGTAGTAGTAGTAGTAGTAGTAGTAGTAGTTAGTAGTAGTAGTAGTAGTAGAAGTAGTAGAAGCACTAAGATTAACAGTAGCAGTAATAGTTGCAGTAGTATTATTATTAGTAGTATTTGTCATAGTATTCATAGTAGTATTTGCAGTAGTATTCATAGCAGTATTTGTAGTATTTGTAGTACTGATCGTGTGTGTATTTCAGGCTGTGCGGGGGCTCAGTGTGAGGGCTGTCAGGAGTACTGCTGCACAGGACGACCTCCATTCTGCTGCTCCTACTACGCCTACGCCGGAGACGTACTCTCGTAAGTACTACACGAGTATACTGCAGACCGGGTGTAGACCGACCTGACCGGACCGACCGGGTTTAGACGACCGGTTTAGACCGGGTTTAGACCGACCGGGTTTAGACCGACCGGGTTTAGACCGACCGGGTGTAGACCGACCGGGTTGTAGACCGACCGGGTTTAGACTGACCGGGTTTAGACCAGGTTCAGTCCTGGTCTAGAGCGGGTTTAGAACAAGTTTAGACCCAGTTCAGAGCGAGTTGAGACCAGGTTTAGGCCGAGTTTAGACCGAGTTTAGACAGGGTTCAGTCCTGGTTTAGTCCTGGTTCAGTCCTGGTTTAGTCCCTGGTATAGACCTGTTTTAGTCCTGGTTTAGACCTGGTTCAGTCCTGGTTTAGTCCCTGGTTAGACCTGGTTTAGATCTGGTTTAGACCTGGTTCAGGTCCTGGTTCAGTCCTGGTTTAGTCCTGGTTTAGACCTGGTTTAGACCTGGTTAGACCTGGTTTCAGTCCTGGTTTAGACCTGGTTTAGACCTGGTTTAGACCTGGTTTAGACCTGGTTTAGACCTGGTTTAGACCTGGTTTAGTCCTGGTTTAGACCTGGTTTAGACCTGGTTTAGTCCTGGTTTAGACCTGGTTTTAACCTGGTTTACCTGGTAGACCTGGTTTAGACCTGGTTTAGACCTGGTTTAGACCTGGTTTTAGACCTGGTTTAGACCTGGTTTAGTCCTGGTTTAGACCTGGTTTACCTGGTTTAGACCTGGTTTAGACCTGGTTTAGACCTTGGTTTAGTCCTGGTTTTAGACCTGGTTTAGTCCTGGTTCAGACCTGGTTTAGTCCTGGTTTAGAGTCCTGGTTTAGTCCTGGTTCAGACCTGGTTCAGACCTGGTTTAGACCTGGTTTAGTCCTGGTTTAGACCTGGTTTAGTCCTGGTTTAGACCTGGTTCAGTCCTGGTTTAGACCTGGTTTAGACCTGGTTTAGACCTGGTTTAGCGGTTAGACCTGGTTTTTTAGACCTGGTTTAGACCTGGTTTAGACCTTAGTTTTAGTTCCCTGGTTTAGACCTGGTTTAGACCTGGTTTAGACCTGGTTTAGACCTGGTTTAGTCCTGGTTTAGACCTGGTTTAGTCCTGGTTCAGTCCTGGTTCAGACCTGGTTTAACCTGGTTTAGTCCTGGTTTAGTCCTGGTTTAGACCTTGTTTCAGTCCGTTTAGACCTGGTTTAGTCCTGGTTTAGACCTGGTTTACTGTTTAGTCCTGGTTAGACCTGGTTTAGTCCTGGTTTAGTCCTGGTTAGACCTGGTTTAGACCTGGTTTACCTGGTTTTAGACCTGGACCTGGTTTGTCCCGTTAGTCCTGGTTTAGTCCCTGGTTTAGTTTTAACCTGGTTTAGACCTGGTTTAGACCTGTTTACCTTTAGTCCTGGTTTAGACCTGGTTTAGACCTGGTTTAGACCTGTTTTAGACCTTTAGACCTGGTTTAGACCTGGTTTAATCCCTGGTTTAGACCTGGTTTAGACCTGGTTTAGACCTGGTTTAGTCCCTGGTTTAGACCTGGTTTAGTCTGGGTCCTGGTTCAGACCTGGTTTAGACCTGACCTGGTTTTAGTCCTGGTTTAGTCCTGGTTTAGACCTGGTTCAGTCCTGGTTCAGACCTGGTTTAGACCTGGTTTAGTCCTGGTTTCCTGGTTTAGACCCTGGTTCAGTCCTGGTTTAGACCTGGTTTAGACCTGGTTTAGACCTGGTTAGTTCTGGTTTAGACCTGGTTTAGACCTGGTTTAGTCTGGTTTTAGACCTGGTTTAGTCCTGGTTTAGTTTCCTGGTTTAGACCTGGTTTAGACCCTGGTTAGACCTGGTTTAGACCTGGTTTAGTCCTGGTTTAGACCTGGTTTAGACTGGTTTAGACCTGGGTTTACCTGGTTTAGTCCTGGTTTAGACCTGGTTTCTGGTTTACCTGGTTTAGACCTGGTTTAGACCCTGGTTTCTGTAGTCCTGTTTAGTCTGGTTTAGACCTGGTTAGTCCTGGTTTAGACCTGGTTTAGAGTCCTGGTTTAGACCTTGTTTAGTCCTGTTTAGTCCTGGTTTAGACCTGGCTTTAGACCTGGTTTAGACTGGTTTAGTCCCTGTTAGTCCTGGTTTAAGTCCCTGGTATAGACCTGTTTTAGTCCTGGTTTAGACCTGGTTTAGCAGCTGTGGTTTATGAAGCAGTAAAAACTAAACAAGTGGATAAACAGCTGAAGTCCTTAAAGTTTGACCTCTGACCTCTGGGGCAGCTCCAGTTTATCAGGGTCACTCACTTTCTCCCACACTCTCCTTTCTCACAGAGTATAGTAGTAGTAGTAATAGTAGTAGTAGTAATAGTAGTAGTAGTAGTAGTAGTAGTAGTAGTAGTAGTAGTAGTAGTAGTAGTACATAACCCCTTTATTTTAACAGTAGAAAAACTTGAAGCCTTTTGAGAGGTGATTGTTTTGCCACATGTAAGTCCTGGTTCAGTGGTTTGGTTTAGTTTAGTTTAGTTTAGTCTGTTAATCCTGGTTCAGCGCTGGTTTAGTCCTGGTGAAGTCCTAATTTAACCCTAGTTTAGTTATAATTTAGGCCTAGTTTAGACCTGGTTTATTTCTAATTTAGGTTTACTCCTGTTCTAGTCCTGGGCTAGTCCTGATTTAGTCCCGGTTTCGTCCTGGTTTAGTCCTGGTCTAGTCCTGGTCTAGTTCTGGTTTAGCCCTGGTCTAGCCCTTTTTTAGTCCTGGTTCAGTCCTGGTTTAGCCCTGGTTTAGCCCTGGTTTAGTCCTGGTTTGTCCTGTTTCTGGTTTATCCCTGGTTTAGTTTATCCTTTTTGTTTTTTTAGTCCCTGTTTAGTCTGGTTTAGTCCTGGTTTTTCTTGTTTAGTCTGTTTTGTCTGTTTAGTCTTGTTTTGTTTCCTGTTAGTCCTGGTATTATCCCTGGTCATAGTCTGTTATGTCTTGTTTTAGTCGGTTAGTTGTTTAGTCCTGGTTTATCCTGGTCCTAGTCTTGTTTAGTCTTGTTTTAGTCCGTTTAGTCCTGTTAGTCCTGTTGTCTTGTTTAGTCTTGTTTTAGTCCTGTAGTCCTGGTCTTAGTCCTGGTTTAGTCCTGTTGTTGTTTTTATTGGTTTAGTCTGTTTTTATCTGGTCAGTCCTGGTTTATCCGTTTAGTCCTGGTTTAGTCTCTCTCTCTCTCGTGTGTTTCAGCGGGACGGCGATCAGTGGGATTGTATTTGGCGTGGTCTTCCTGATGGGGGCGGTAGCGGCTCTGTCCCTGTGTTTGTGCGTCTGCATGAAGGACGGACGAGGAAGCAGAGTCGGCGTCTTCAACTCCAGCTACATCAGCACCGTGTCGCAGGGGTACCCAGGTGGGACAAACTTCAACAAAACTCAAGCTCAAAATACTTTTAAAGCTCCAAAATTCCACAAAACTGACTCCTGTCGCTTTAAATCTGTTTATAATGTTTATAAAATCCTCGAAAAACAGACCTGGAGTTGTGTTTTGTTCCTTTATGATGAGTCTGTTTACGTCTCCAAAGCTCAAAACGCTCTGTTCCACCTTGTGATGTCATCAAACAGTTTTAAGAAGTAAATAAATACGCAGGTTTTGTGTGTTAAACAATAATATTACTGCAACTACTACTACTGCTGTGCCAAAAGTACAAATATTTCTGCTTTCACTGCTAGTACTTCAATTATTACCACTACCACTACTACTACCACCGCTGCTACTACTACTACTACTACTACTACTACTACTACTGTGTCAAAAGTACTAATATTTCTGCTTTTACTGCTAGTACTTCAATTATTACCAGAACTCTGCTATTAATAACCAATCTACTACTACTACTACAGCACTACTGCTACTATACTACGCACTACTACTACTATGAATACTACTACTGCTCTACTACTACTAACAGAATAATACTACTACTCGCTACTACTACTGCTACTTGAATACTACTACTACAGCACTGCTACTTTACTCCTCTACTACTACTACTATGCTACTAATACTACTACTGCCTACTTTAACTGCCTACTACTACTGCTACTACTGCACTACTACTACTGCTATGCTACTATATACGCAACTACTACTACTACTACTTGCTGTACTAACTACTGCCTACTACTGCCACAACTCTACTGCTACTGAATACTACTACTACTACACTGCTACTACTACTACACAGATACTTACTACTGCTAACTACTACTAACTACTACTATACTACTACTTGTGCTACTGCTACTGCTACGTATTATACTACTACTATACAGCTACTACTACTACTACAGCTACTACACTACTACTATACTACTACTATTCTACTACTATATACTGCAGTGTCAAAAGTAACAATATTTCTGCTTTTACTACTGGTTCTTCAATTACCAGAACTACTGCGATATTAAATTCTCCAAATGCTACTACTACTCTACTACTTTTATCATAATATATTATGGTGTGTGGCTACGTGAGAGCGTCAAAGTTTAAATCAGAATCAGAAAAGAAAAAGACTCTTTTTTTTACAGCCACGGTTCATTTTCTGTTTAAATATGATCAGGATTTGTTACGTCATAGTTAAAAATCCTATATTACGCAAAATTTGACTCTTGTGAGCTTTAAGTCGTGTTATAAAGTTGTTTTCTTGTCAAAAAAAAAAAAACAGAGCCGGAGTTGTGTTTTGTTTCATTCACACATGTTTGAGTAAATATATTATCAGTCTGTCTACAATTCCAAATACACAGTGGAGCAATTCCTGTATAATTACCATGACATCACAAGGTGGAACAGAGCGTTTTAAGGCAGAGAGAAGAGTTTGTGTGTTAAACAAATGTGAATGAAGAGACTTGGTTTAGTGTTTAGTTCCTGTGTTGAATATTTCATCACAGTTTTACATCGGTTCAGTGGCAGTTTGTGGAAAAAAAAAAAGGTGGAAAGGAAAAGTAGAGCTTCGATAAAATGTGACCTGCATAAAAACAAAGTGACAAAGAAGTGAGTTTAAATATTACATGAGCTCAGGAACAGAACGGCAAATTATTAATCCCTGTTCTTTTGGAGACGACGAGAACTACGGCCGACTTTTACCTCTTTGTTTTGATGAAACTTTACACTAGTAGCAGCAGTAGCAGTAGTAGTAGTAGTAGTAGTAGTAGTTGTTGTTGTAGTAGTAGTTTCTCCTTCCCACTCCTTTTTGGGCCATTTTTTTTTATTTTTTTGTTGTTTTTTCTGCTATGATTATATTAATGTTATATGTTCTATAGTAAAATAATGTACATTTCTTACTTGCCCAAAATAAATATATAAATCTAAATCTAATCTAGAAGTTGTAGTAGTAGTAGTAGTAGCAGTAGTAGTAGTAGTAGTAGTAGTAGTAGTAGTAGTAGTAGTAGTAGGTAGTAGCAGCGTAGTTAGTAGTGAGTAGTAGCAGCAGTAGTATATGTAGTAGCAGCAGTAGCTAGTAGTAAGCTAGAGTAGCAGTAGTTAGCAGTAGTAGCAGTAGTAGGTAGCAGTACGTAGTAGTAGCAGCAGTAGTAGCAAGTAGCCAGTGTAGCAGTAGTCAGCAGTAGAAGTAGTAGTAGTTAGCAGTAGTAAGTACAGTAGTAGCAGTAGTAGTAGTAGCAGTAAGTCAGCAGTAGTAGCAGTAGTAGTAGCAGTAAGTATATAGTAGTACGAAGTAGTAAGTAGTAGCAGTAGTAGTAGTACAGTAGTAGTAGTATAAGTAGCAGTATCGTAGTTAGTAGTAGTAGTAGTAGTAGTAGCAGTAGTAACAAGTAGTAGTAGCAGTAGTAGAAGTAGTAGCAGAGTAAGAGTAGTAAGCAGTAGCAGTAGTAGTAGTAAGCAGTATAGCAGTAGCAGTAAGTAGTAGCATAAGCAAGTATAGCAGTAGTAGCAGTCAGCAGTAGTAGTACAGTACAGTAGTAGTAGTAGTAGCAGTAGCAGTAGTAGTACAGCAGCATCGTAGTAGCAGTAGCGCAGTAGCAGTAGCAGTAGCAGTTAGCAGTAGTATAGTAGTAGTAGTAGTAGTAGCAGTAGTAGAATAGTAGTAGTAGTAAATAGTAGTAGTAGTTAGTAGCAGTAGCAGTAGTAGTAGTAAGTAGTAGAGTAGTAGTAGTAGTAGCAGTAGTAGTAGCAGTAGTAGTAGCAGTGTAGAAGTAGTAGTAGCAGTAGTAAGTATAGCAGTAGTAGTAGCAGTAAAGTAGTAGTAGTAAGTAGTAGTGAAGTAGTAGAGTAGTAGTAGTAGCAGTAGCAGTAGTAGTAGCAGTAGTAGCAGTAGTGAGTAGTAGCAGTGGTGAGTAGTAGCAAGTAGTAGTAGTAGCAGCAGTAGTAGTAGTAGCAGTAGCAGTAGCAGTAGTAGTAGTAGTATAGTAGTAGCAGTAGTAGTAGCAGTAGCATAGCAAGTAGCAGTAGCAGTAGCAGTAAGCAGTAGCAGTAGCAGTAGTAGTAGCAAGTAGCAGTAGTAGTAGCAGTTAGTAGTAGTTAATAGCAGTAGCAGTAGTAGTAGTAGCAGTAGCAGTAGTAGCAGTAGTAGTAGCAGTAGCAGTAGTAGTCCTCCCTGTGTTACTATAATAATAATTATCATAAATTAGTCTTTTAAGGCACTTTTACAGTTTGGTTCATTCTTCTTTCACTCCAAACTCACTGGTGGTAAATATTATTGTAGCCACCGCTGCCCCGGGACAGACTGAGGGAAGTGAGGCTGCCAGTCTGCGCCATCCGCTGAAAGTCCTGCCCGGCCGGGTTGTGGAACTTCCGGTTAAAAGTAATTCATTAATAAGCAACTTGTTCACTCAGACTGATTCTGGAATTAAAAAAAAAAAAAAATCATCTATTCAATCAGTCTGACTTAACAAGTTACTTAAAGGTTGTATGGAGGATTTTTTTTTTATTTCAAATTGTCAATGAAAGTTTAAAATACCAGTACAGAGACGCAGCAGCCTCGTAATTATGATGACCAAAAAAAAAAGAATGAAAATCTATCAACTGTGGACGTAGTGAGGCCAGATAACATCAGCCAATAGAAAGAGGCTGCCTCATTTCCTATTGGCTGTTAGGTGCAATCAACTCCCTACGTTTCTAGTGTAACTGACTCGTCGGTGCGCCGGGGATTATGTGGTTTATGCAGTAGTTTTTACAGAATTTTTCAAACGTAGCTTCCTCGTAATTCGCACAAAGTTTGTTGCGAGGCGGACGAGAATCAACGACCGTTCGCCGTAAAAGAAAGTCAATTTTTGAGGGTCGCTGAGAAAAGAGAAGGGGAAAAGGAGCCAAGACAAACTGAGGTGATTCTTGGAGATTTCTTCCAGCGATTGGACGAATGAAGCAGATGAACGGTCTAAAAACTTGATGCGCTGGTCGATAAATTATTTCTAAACAGGTCACTTCAACAGTAATTCTGAACACGCACTGGATGTAACAACGATTTCTAGAGTAAGAGGCGGGAGAGATGTTTCTACTGAAGGAGCGTGGAGGAGGAGGTGGTGTCACTCATGCACAACATTTGAAAAGGACCGTCACTGTATGTCTTCCCTTAAAAAAATCCTCTATACAACCTTTAAAGGTTGTATGGAGGATTTTTTTTTTTTTTTCAAATTGTCAATGAAAGTTTAAAATACCATTACATAGACGCAGCAGCCTTGTAATTATGATGGCCAAAAAAAAAAAATCTATAACTGTGGATGTAGTGAGCCAGATAAACTCAGCCAATAGAAAAAGCTACCTCATTTTCTATTGGCTGTTAGACTGTCAATCAAACTTCCTACGTTTCTAGTGTGCTGGGATTACGTGGTTTATGCAGCGGTTCTTAGAGGCTTTTTTCTAATTGTCGCTTCCTCGCAGTTCACACAAAGTACTGAGATGGCGGACGAGAATCCATGAGCAGTTCGCCGCAAAAGAAAGTCAGTTTTTGAGTTCGCTGAAAGAAGAAGACAAGGGGAAAAGGAGCGAAGACAAACTGGGTGATTCTTGGAGATTCCTTCCAGCGATGGCGCGAATGAAGCTGACGAAGGGTCTAAAAACGGAGGTGTCGGTCTCTAAATTATTTCTAGACGGGAAACTCCAACAGTAATTCTGGCTGTAAAAAAAAACGTGATTTCTAGAGTAAAGAGGCGGGAGGAGATGTTTCTACTGAGGGAGAAAATTTGAAAAAGGACTGTCGCTGTATTTCTCCTCCCTTAAAAAATCCTCTACACAACCTTTAACAAATTACTTATTACTTACTTTATTATTCAGTTTTACTTGTTAATAAATTCTTCATGGTTCTTCATGTTTATCCTTTGTGGACTTTGTTGGTTGAAAATTTTTGCCATAGAAAACCATTAACCAGACGTTCCGCTTTTGGAATACCAATAATACTACTACTACTACTGCTGCTGCTACTGTGACAAAAGTACTCTTAATACTTCAATTATTACTACAACTACTGCTATTAATACAATACTACTGCTGCTACCATGTCAAAAGTACAAACAGTTCCACTTTTACTGTTAATACTTCAGTTATTACCAGAACTACTGCTACTATTACCAATAATACTACTTCTACTGTGTAATAAAGTACAATTATTTCTGCTTTTACTGCTAGTACTTCAATTGTTACTAGAACTACTGCTATTAATACCAATAATACTACTACTACTACGTCAAAAGTACATATATTTCTGCTTTTACTGTTAATACTTCAATTATTACTACAATTGTTGGTACTAATGACACAACTACTGCTACTACTACTGCTACTACAGTGTCAAAAGTACAAATAGTTCTGCTTTTACTGTTACACTACTATTTCTTCTACTTCTACAACTACACACTACTATACTACTACTGTGTTAAAGGCACAAATATTTCTGCTTTTACTGCTAGTACTTCAATTGTTACTACAACTACAACTATTAATACCAATACAACTACTACTACTACTGCTACTGTATCAAAAGTACAAATATAAATAGTTCTGCTTTTACTATTAATACTTCAATTATTACCACAACTACTGCTATTTCTATCACTACTACTACTACTACTACAACAACTACAACAACTACAACAACTACTACTACTACTCCTACTACTACTGTGTCAAAAGTACAAATATTTCTGCTTTTACCGTTAGTACTTTACTAATTACTTAAACTACTACTAAACTACTACTCCACTACTACTCCTACTATACTACTGTGTCAGAATTACAAGTATTTCTGCTTTAACTGCTAGTACTTCAATTGTTACTTCAACTACAACTATTAATACCAATACTACTACTACTACTACTACTACTGCTGCTGCTACTACTGTGTCAGAAGTACAAATATTTCTGCTTTTACTGTTAATACTTCAATTATTACCACAACTACTGGTATTTCTATTGCTACTACTACTACAACAACTACAACAACTACTACTACTACTACTACTACTACTACTATTACTCCTGCTCCTACTACTACTACTACTACTACTACTGTGTCAGAAGTACAAATATTTCTGCTTTTACTGTTAATACTTCAATTATTACCACAACTACTGGTATTTCTATTGCGACTACTACTACAACAACTACAACAACTACTCCTACTACTACTACTACTACTACTACTACTACTCCTACTACTACTATTACTCCTACTCCTACTACTACTACTACTGTGTCAGAAGTACAAATATTTCTGCTTTTACTGTTAATACTTCAATTATTACCACAACTACTGGTATTTCTATTGCTACTACTACTACAACAACTACAACAACTACTCCTACTACTACTACTACTACTACTTACTACTACTACTACTACTAGTACTACTACTGTGTCAGAAGTACAAATATTTCTGCTTTTACTGTTAATACTTCAATTATTACCACAACTACTGGTATTTCTATTGCTACTACTACTAACAACTACAACAACTACTACTACTACTACTACTACTACTCCTACTACTACTACTACTACTGTGTCAGAAGTACAAATATTTCTGCTTTTACTGTTAATACTTCAATTATTACTACAATTCCTGGTCGTAATGACACTCGGGACTTAGTGAAAAAACTCTGTAGACGATGTGGGCGAAGTGTCTTGCTTAAGGACACACTTTTCAGTTTATCTTGTGAGATTTTCCCGTGAGTGTTTCGCATCCCTGAGGAGCGTGAGGAGGTTGCGGGTTAGACTCCCGTCGGTTTGGCTGCGCGCTGTGTGTGTGTGTGTGTAAACAGCCTGTGACCCTGTTAAAATCACAGGTACAGCGCCGCATCACTATTCATGTTTTTATCCCTCGCAGACGTTCCGGCTCGTTCCGTCGCACTTCCCTCCGCAGATCGGCCTCGACGCAAACCGCAGGAAATTAGAACGTAAACCGAACACGTTTAACGATCCAATTTCCGTCCTTTTGAGCAGCTTTAATTAAACGTCTTATCCGCAGATAGATTCATAATGGAAAAGTGATCGAAAATGTATTTGAGTTTACTGATAAAATTAATTAAGTAAACACAATAACGCAATTAGTAGCCAACTCTTTAATCTTTATTTTTTCCTGTATTTAACGCACAACTTCACTTGGACTCGAGTCTGACTTGAGTCACTGTTTTTAGGACTTGAGACTTGATGAAATGGACTAAGACTTGGGACTCGACGTGGCTGGGACTTGACTTGGACCATGATTTTTTTTTTAAAGTACAATTTAGTTTAAACTTCATATAAATTGCAAAAATCGAACCGTATTTTGGTTTAAAGACTTGAAATAACCTGAAGCTTAAAGCAGACGACTTGGACTTGACTTGGACTTATGGGCCAGTGACCTGAGACTCGACTTGGACTTGCCTGCGTTTGACTTGGGACTTGACTCGGACCATGATTTTTTTTAAAGTACAATTTAGTTTAAACTTCATATAAATTGCAAAAATCGAACCGTATTTTGGTTTAAAGATTTTGAAATGACCTGAAGCTTAAAGCAGACGACTTGGACTTGACTTGGATTTATGGGCCAGTGACCTGAGACTCGACTTGGACTTGCCTGCGTTTGACTTGGGACTTGACTCGGACCATGATTTTTTTTTAAGTACAATTTAGTTTAAACTTCATATAATTGCAAAAATCGAACGTATTTTGGTTTAAAGATTTGAAATGACCTGAAGCTTAAAGCAGACGACTTGAGACTCGACTTGGACTTGCCTGTGTTTGACTTGGGACTTGACTCGGACTTGAGGTTAAAGACCTGAGAAGCACTTTAAAATCTGAATTCTTTCTATTCTGACTATAATGATTCACTCTAAGATCTTGTCAAAAACATTTAAAAATAAAAAAAAAGTTAACATTTCTGCAACTCTTACTCTAGAAATACTCATATAAAGATACCTGATTTTTAAGTCAAATTTAGTTTAAACTTCATATAATTCAATCTAAGAACTTGTCCAAACAAAAAAAATAACATTTCTACAACTCTTACATACTCTATAAATATTCAAATATAAATATACCATGATTTTTTAAGTACATTTTAGTTTAAAATTCATATTAATTGCAAAAATCAAACCTATATTTGGTACTTTTTTGGTTTAAAGACTTGAAATGACTTGAAGCTCAAAGCAGACGACTTGGACTTGACTTGGATTTATGGGCCAGTGACTCGAGACTCGACTTGGTCTTGCCTGTCTTTGAACTGGGACTTGACTCGGACTTGAGGTCAAAGACTTGAGACTTGCAAAACAACATGGTCCCAAGTCGGAGAGTAAATAAAGTTTTAAGTTTTGTTTTTTTAAGTTTATTGATAAAACAGTAATGGACGTGTTTACGCTCCTCAAATTATAAAATATTAAAACCCAGAAGTTTTAGTCCTAATTACATATACACACCCAACTGGTTTAAAAATGCAACAAAAATTTCCTTTATAAAAGCTTTTTTTTTGTCTTCTTTACTCATTCTGTAACACTGTTCTTTTTGACTCCTCAAGCACTTTCTGTTTACTTTTATGTTACTTCCACAAACTGTGTTAAAAAAACAACAACAACATAAATACAGTATTTGGTAATTACTTTAGAACTTGTTGTAACTCTTCACAATAGTATAGCACTCGTTTTATTTTTTTTAAATCTATTTATTTATTTTAGCTGAAGCTTAAGGTCATGTGATTTCAGCGTGTGGCCACCAGGCGGAGCTGTTGTGTTGTGAATCACGTCACAGAGTGAGGACATAATCCTGTAAAACCGTGGATCTACTGAAACATCTTATTTCACATAAGAGTTTTAGATTTTCTGTACAAGTACAACACAGAGTCTAAACCTGAACTAAACCTGAACTAAACCAGGACTAAACCAGGGAATAACTAGGGACTAAATGAGGGCTAAACCAGGACTGAACCAGAGACTAAACCAGGGTTAAACCAAAACTAAACCAGGGCTAAACCAGGACTGAACCAGGACTAAACCAGGGTTAAACCAAAACTAAACCAGGGCTAAACCAGGGATTAAACCAGGTCTAAACCAGGGTTGAACCAGGGCTAAACCTGGAACTAAACAAGGACTAAACCAGAACTGAACCAGGGACTAAACCTGGGACTAAACCAGAGACTACACCAGGACTAAACCAGGGACTAAAATAGGACATAAATCAGGACTAAACCAGAACTAAACCAGGGCTAAACCAGAGACTAAACCAGGACCAAGTCAAACCTCATTTACACATATTTTCTGGTGCATCAAAACACAGCCACTGTATTACACCCATAGACTGTTTATATAAATGTACACAGTAACCCAATAGCTGCCAAACAGGAAATGAACATGGGCACATTTCCGGCTCCATCGACTCTGGCTCCAATTCACTTTCTATTGAAAAAATGTCACTCCTCTCTTTGTACCTGCTGCTGTGAGCCTCGTCATTCTGGTCTTAAAATGTTCGTATTAACCCGCTCTACATGATCCTGGGTTTTTTTTATTTCCATATTTCTTTTCCTGTTACCTGATGATTAAACGTCTATCAACACTCCAGTTACACTAACGAGATCTCCGTTTTTGTCTCCTCAGGTCCTCCTCCTCCGTACACCTGTGAGTACGAGATGTACCCTGCGAGTTTCGAGCCGCCGCCGTACACGCCGACCCAGCCTCGCCCGCTCCACTACTCCCCGCCGCCGCCGTACCCCGGGTCCAAGAGCGGAGACAACCAGGACAGAGTCTACCACATGGACGATTAAACGAGACCGACTTCAAAACGTCAAAAACACAACGATGCAGTGGTCCGAAGTTATTCCTCGCTGACTTTACGCATTCAGAGCGACTTAATGATCCACCACGATGAGTTTGTTGATACTTTGCAGCTGATGACGTCAATACTGAAGGGTGACCAGATTTTCAGAATTCTTAACACACTGAAGTTGGGATGGTTGGCGTAAATAAAATTGTGAAAAGAGTTCTAAACCAGGACTAAAACAGGACCGTCAGAGCCTGATTCATCAGACGGTTTCAATTGGTGGAAACCGTGTGACCTCGCAGCGTTAGGATTCGTTCGCTCGACAGTAGGCGGGTACTTTTTTTTCATTTAAAGGTTGTATGGAAGATTTTTTTTTGTTTCAAACTGTCAGTGAAAGATTAAAATACCATTACAGAGACGCAGCAGCTTTGTAATTATGATGACCAAAAAAAAAAAGAACGAAAATCTATCAACTGTGGACGTAGTGAAGCCAGATAAACATCAGCCAATAGAAAACGAGGCTCCCTCATTTTCTATTGGCTGTTAGATTGTCAATCAAACTCCCTAGTATAACTGACTCGTCGGAGCGCGGGGATTACGTGGTTTTACGCAGCGGTTCTTAGAGGCTTTTTCGAACTGTCGCTTCCTCGCATTTCGCACAGTTTGTCGCGACGGCGGACGAGAATCCACGACCGGTTCGCCGCAAAAGAAAGTCCGTTTTTGAGGTCGCTGAAAGAAGAAGAGAAGTGGAAAAGTAGCAAAGCCAAACTGAGGTGATTCTTGGAGATCTCGTCCAGCGATGGCGCGACCGAAGCAGACGAAGGGTCTAAAAACTGACGCGTCGGTCGCTGAATTACTTCTAGACAGGAAACTTCAACAGTGATTCTGAACGCGCACAAGGACTGTCGCTGTATTTCTCTTCCCTTAAAAAAATCCTCTATACAACCTTTAACCAATCGTTGCTGTTTGGTCGTGACGTATGTGATGCAGGACAATAACGTCTTTCCTCTTGATAAAATTCACCAAATTATTCTCTTTGTTCCGGCTTTAAATCCTCGATCTCGGGAATCGTCGCCAACACAGAACGTCTGACTTCGTCTACATCCATCTCGACGCTTTGTTTAGTGTTGTGCGAGAGTATTTTTTGGTATATTTTACAAAATTATTTTCTTACAGCTACAGTTTTGTTGCTTGTTCAGAGGAAGGAAACTCTTTTATGCGACACATTTGACATTTTCACTGTTTTTATGATTAAAATGGGTGTTTTACATATGAACTTTGCAGAAGAAGTGGTTTAACAAAGACTTTTAGTATCACAGCCACGATTTAGCCTTTATATTTATTGAACCGAATCGATTTGAAATACATCGTATCGAACCAAAACCTCATTATATCGAGGTTTGCATCATATCGGCAACTTCTTAATGATACTCGGCCCTAGAAAAAAGCGGGAAACATTGTGGATTCTCGTGTCAGTCAAAATCTTCTGAGGGACTTTTTTTTTTTTTTTTGCTTTATGGTCATTTGCAAACATGGATTTCAGTATTTTGGTGGGGAAAAAAAGACAATTTATACTCCTCGTTAGTCAAAAATTGTGATAATCTGGTCTTAGTCCTGGTTTAGACCTGATGTAGTCCTGGTTTAGTCTTAGTTTAGTCCTGTTTTGGGAGTGTGCCTATGTTCCCACAGCCTTTTGTTCCCTCATTTCTAAGTTTTGTTTTGTTT